AATTACCTGCGCTTGAGGGAATTTGACCAAAATTTTTAAAGCTGGCATAAGAATAAAATTTGTTTAGTTGGGGCCTTTTTCTCAATTACCTGTAACTTTAAAATTCACTTTATATAAAGGTTGCATTAAAATTTATGATTGTGTCTAAAGTAAAGCATTATATCATCGATTTTATACTGGTTTACAACAAAGAAACATACATACGACAAAAACCAATAATATAAATGCTTAAATTTAGACATAGCCATATTTTTAATACAACCTTTAAATATAAAGTGAGCTTTAAAGTTAAAGGTTGCTTCATAAAACGGCTCTTAGTCTAAAAAAAATATCCCTTTAATTGAAGGAAAGATCTAAAATCGGTCATTATCTTGAACAAAGAGCACAGAACCTGAAAATGTTACATTAAAAAAAAATTATCGCTAGGTCGAAATTTTTCTTCCCTTAATGCAAAATAACCATAACAATGATGAATTTGTTTTTTGTTGGTCAAAACACGATCGCATCATGAAAATCTGCATGGGTTAAAAAGGCGATCAATTGAAGAGTTTTACTTTGAACTTAAGAGCAGGGACACCCAACCAGTTTAGACATCTAAAAAAAAAATAAATAAACAATCGATTAGGTAGACTTGAATCGTGAAGATTGTACTGAATGTTGCTCATACGACGCGTGTGTCTAAAAAGAGTGATTTTATTTACAAGGGTACGAAAGTAATTTAAAAACTGAATAATATTAAACTGCCTGAAGAGGTATTTCGTGAGTAAGATAAAATCCACTTTTTATCCAGAAATATTATTTATCATGTGGTGCTTGCACCAGAAGTTTTAGGGTTCAAGTAAAAGAAGTTTGTAGTAATTTGTCAGCACAAGAAAAAATTTTCATTCTGTTGGAAATTTTTCTTGAACCACAATATTTTATAATATATTATATTCGCATAAGAATGCTTTTTCGATCCGTTTACGACTGTTCCTACGCGATCGACAATTTCAAGCGAAAAAGTACTCGAAAACGAATCGTAGACGGCTGTCTTAAACGACTTTTTAGCCGGTTTTTCTTCGAGAAAATATCCAGTTACAGTTACTTTCTGATTGATGACAAGATTAGTGATGATATAATTAAAAACAGCGTACTAGATCAATTTTTTCTCAAAGGTGACCTAATTATATGAGCACAAGTGTATGTGCGTAATAGAAGTATGTACTTACAAACTTATCCGTGTTGAAATAATTATTTACATAGAGTATATTAAGCCACCATGACGCCTGACAGCGCTCCTGTTCACGTCTGATGCGCTCTGGCCATAACGGACCGCTGCCGATGCTCGGGAACCAGGTCATGTAGAAGCCGATAATTGCCATATAGGCCGGTGTCAGGCGAATGTAGCGGCCAATGTACAAAATCAACGGGTTTATTTGACCACGACGACGATGCAGTTCGACCAGCATAATGCGACAGAACAGGAAACCACTCAACAACAGAAACGTATCCACAAATAATAGCGAATTGTAGAGGAATGCAAATGTGGGGAATTTCGTTTGCTAAGATGTGCGGTGATTTGCAAACAGAGAAATAAGAAAAAAATATATAATATGTAAGTACAGTATTGGCCATATCTATAGCACCGCCATTTCAAAGTCCCTAAGGGGAAATAATTAATTATTAATGGCAAACAATATCTCTTAATATCAAAAAAAAAATTCTAGCACTTCTGAGAAAAAATTTTGAAATTTGGGGGAAAATTTGTCGAATATTTTTGTAGCACTTTAAAAGATTTAAAATTTGTTGAATTTCTTTTTGTAGTATTCTATAAAGTCTAAAACTTGGGTTTATATGGTTTTTGTTCCAGAATGAACTGTATTTTACTTGAAAATTCCTAAAAATGAAATAAAGAAATAACTTTGAAATGGGGGTGCTATTGTATTGGTCAATACTGTATATATGTATATGTATGTGAATTAAATACAAATGTCAAGCATTCAGTAAACAATTGTGAAATAGTCATTAAAGCTAACGGTTTCAAGCGATTAAACCAAAACTCGTTTTTTATGCGTATGTATGTATGTACATAAATTAACATTAGTGGTTATTATTACCTCTGCTACGAACGCCACATTATAAGTGGGACTGCCATAGATAAACGACAGCGCATGCCCGGCAAGTATCAACAACATTGCCATTGCTTTGATGCCGTTTATCGAGTTTAGCCCCATCTGGTCTTTACTCGCCTGAAACAGTTTCTTCGTATTCTCTGCAATATGAAAACAAAAATATCATCCAATCTACAGATATGCAAATATCACACCCACCTATAACTGAGAACGACAACAATGCGATTGTCAATGTTTCTTGTTGCAATGCGCGTTTCGAGACATCATCGGCACTTCTCGACGCATAAATCAAGTAGCAATGATAGGCGGTGCTCAATGTGGCCAGCAAAATAAACAGAAATAGCACAACACTGCAAAATATTCGAATTTTCAAAAAAAAATAAATAGCAAGCAATTACTTAAGCCATTACCTAGCATATAAATATATAAATATGGTTGTGTGTAAAATGATTAACCCACTTACGCATAAGCAAACATTCCACCATCGACGTGCAACGCCCTGCCGGATCCAACGTTGCTCAGCTGACAGGCCGTTTCGTTGACGCTCAACACCGGGCGTTGCAAGTAGTTCTGCAAAAACAGAGCGACATCGGTGGGCTCACAAGACGCTGGCACGCATGCGCCCCAATGCGACACCACCACCACTGCTGCATCACCAATGCTTTTCAAGGCCTGCAATTAAAAGCAATAACAATGACATTAATTCGCTTTATTCATTTTGGTTTTTTGGCAAATTATGACTGATTGATGTCAATTTGTTTTCATATTCTCTGTTGCACATATTGCAACCGTCTGAAGAGCTTTAATATGTGTTAAGGCGATGTTAGCTCTGGGCAGTAATGCGTTGATATTTTACAAGGGGTCAAGTTAGTAATAAAACTGGTGACATATTACACAATAAATAATTCCTTCACTTATACAAATCACACTTTAGAGGCACATTATTGACAGCCAAATTGCTTACGAAAAATCAGAAATTTGCACTTTAATTGGTTTCATTTTTGGTTATGTTGTGAGTAATTTAGCGATAACTGCAGCCATTAGATTTTATGGAAAAAACATACATAAGTATATAAGTAAATACATAGATAACTATATAAAATCGCATATTTGCTTCACAGAATAATTTAATCAATAAATCAGTATTCAGTATTTTAATGCTAAAAAATGGTGGTTAATTTGTATTTTAATAAACACCATATAAATCCAAGTGTGAAACTGTATACGAAATTTAGGAGAAATCTGCAAAATCTCATCAAAATTGCAAAATTTTAAATAAGAAGTATGCAGTTTTAATCCTATTAAATTTTAGTATAAAAATGTCTTAAAATTTGCGTTGATTTTTGATGATAATTTTTTTTCTGACTGTCCGACGGATTTTTCCCGGACGAAATACTAGACTATAGTACTCTCCTCCTGAAACAGCCGATTATTCAAATTTTTTACAAAACCGGTTTTCGAGTTATTCGAAAAATGGCAAGTTGAAAAAAATACGGATAAACCGGTTTTATGTTACATAGTTTTTGTACAGTGAAAATACTTATCTTGGTATGAAGTCATGGCCAAAAACTACAATAAAACTATTAACAGAAAAGAAATCAGTTAAAAACGCACGTTTGGTCTTATTTTTAAAATTTATAGAATTTTTTCTGACTTTCTTCGGTTTTGAGTAGTGCTCTTGCCGCCCTAGCCGAGTGCTTAGAGGTGCCTACTGCTCCTCGGGAGATCCCAGGTTCAATTTTAATTTCCGAGTATACTTCTGCTATAAAAAAGCAGAGCACGAATTTTACGAAAAGCTCGGCCAAACACGTAGAAAGCCTTTAATCGCCAAGCATTCATTCCCAAATAAGCGGAGATATACATACTTTTAAAACCATTTAGGGGATTCCCTTAAACTGGACAATTTGGAAAAACTTAAAACTTTTATTGGATTTGGATGATATGAAAAAGCGGTTTGTTCGGTCAAAAATCAGGTATATTCGATATTCGAAAAATCAAGATTCAAAAAAAAACGCCTACAGATTTCCAAAAAACCGGTGGAAACCGGTTTGGAAAAACCGAGTTGGCCACCCTAGTTTTTAGCCACGTTGTATTGGGGGTCGAGAAATTTCGAAAAATTTAACTACTTCCAATACTTTCCGTACTGTTTCATAAACTTTGTACTACAAAGGAATTTTTATGGACGTCGACATATTCAAACATATTCTTTTTCCCACCATTTATTGCGATTTTATATTCCAAGCTTACACAACATCGCGATGGATATATATCCCTGATTTAGATGTTAGCATTCGTTATGCATAGATAAAGGAACAATAATGTAGACAATGTATTTGCATACATATGTATGTATATATGTATGTATGTATGTAAATAATAAGCCAATTGAATGTCTCTTACCGAAATTATTCGCTACATGACTATAGCGGTAATCATTTCAAAATGAAAGTACGCATAATAAGCAAATACATACATACATATATATATTTATGTGTAGATATGAGCCGTTTATTTTGAAAGTGGCATAAGTCACGTTTTCGAAAAAGCCGAATTAACGAATAACACTAATTACATTTTAACGGCAACTATTCAGTAAAAAAAATTAATAAGATTTCTACACACACACAAACATACGCTCACCGTGGCGTCAGGATTTTTATTAAAAGAACTTTGAAATTTCAAAGATATGATTAGTTCCGAAAGATATTCAAAAAATTTAGTGCAATATATAATAACAACATAAGGACCAAATAAAAGAGAAATCCCTGCAGAATTGAAATATTTTAAATTTTTTGGTGCAAATGGAGAAATAGCTAATTAAAATTTTGTCCTTGAGCATCCTTGGAAATTTGCAATATTTATTTTTGAAATAATTATAGTTCAAAATTAATATACACACGACCACATCTTCGAATTTTGTCCTTCCACTTTAATACCTGCAACAAATAAAAAAATAATTATAAAGGCATTTTTAATACCAATTCGTCCTTGTGAACCAACAAAGTTAAATATTTTCGAGTTCTAAAGAATGTTTGCTTCCATTTTGTTCCCATATTTTTATTCTACATTGCACTGAATTTTTTAAATACTTAAGTTTGGAACTAGCCAAATCTTTGAAATTTCAAAGTCCTTTAAAAAATCCCGACGCCAGAGGGAAAACAACTTAAAACGCATTTTTAATCTATTTGGCCCCTAATTTCGTATGTTGAAGTAAAAGTAACTTATTTATCAATTTTAGTAAATCACTTTCCTTTAAAAACATCACATCGGTAATACACATCGGACAAAATTGATGTCAGTAATTTTTTTTTTAACTATTTATAATGAAAAGTGGTGTTTTTTTCAAGACTATACAAAATTGTTTATACTGAGAAAAATGTCCTAAGTTGACAAATTCAAGTAAATCTTCTCATAAGTTAGCATCAATATTTTCAAACGCGAATTAAAACCAAAAAGACTTATGCCACTTTCAAAATAAACAGCTCGTATGTACATATTTTAGTGATGAAGATAATTATTTTAACAATTTTTTGACGCTAAAATTATTTAACTGTATATGTGGGCAATTAAAAAAGTCATCCTAAATACGCAAAATGAAAACAAATAGCTCAAGGCAAATGATTAGAATCGGACATACTCGTATAACTTAACTGAATATCAGCATGCAAAATTTATAATTCTAGATTTTTCTAAGCAAATAAAAGCTTTTGCGCTTACGGCAACTATTTATGCAAACGTACACGGAGTTACACTTATTAATTAGACACGTTTAACCTGTTTACTATCCATAGTAGAAAATATTCCTAGAGAGGATTAATAGTCTCGATAAAATATTTTACTTTGTGTTGTACATATATATGTATAAGTGACAAAAATTAAGATTTTACGAGTCGAATTGGTTTTAGTTTTTTCAATACATAGGTATGTAAATATAAACACTTTTCTTTATTTACGATGTGTCCATTCATATGCATGCTCAAGTAAACAACGTAATTAAAAAATATAAATTTCTGCTATCAACGTGTTTTAATATTTTTCAATCAAGATTGTTAAGTCTAGACTGACCACTACATACATACGAACTACAAATATGTATAATTTGTTTGGTCTACACTTCATTCCGTATTTCATGTGACAAGTCTTCATAGGTTAAGCCAAATTCATTGCGTAACTCGCATTCACCTTAGTTCACTCCCCATACTTTCTTTCTTAAATAAATTTCCCCGTGTCGGAATCTATACAGCCTTATTCTGCAACACGAACGATAGGCAACACGAAGAGGAATGCTTCAAAAATTAGTCCGGCGGCATCATTTTAGCCGGTTTAAACACAACCGAGACTATTGCAACGTAATGTATGAAAAGCAAGACGAAGACGACCGATAGAGTTTAAAATCGCAATCAGAGAGGTTGTCGTCTGCAGACGAATCGTTCGTTTTGCCTATCGTTCGTGATACAGAATAAGGCCCATATTCTCATTTCTGACCTCTTCAAGCGATGTCTTCATGTCGTAAGAATTATACGGCGAATTGGAAAAGGGACGTGATAAACTCCTAGACGCCAAAATTTTAAAACATCGGAAGTAGAGCAGCTAATTTTACTTTCGTCTTTAAATTGTCCTTTTTGTTTACATTTTACTCCAAAAAGAAATTTGCAGCTCTCAATAAAACTTTTGGGTACAAGAACGGCAAAAACTGTGATAGTTTTCTAAAATGAGTCATCGCTATTTTGTTATCGAGCCTCCGACTTATCGATATTCTACTGTACATACACTTTAATAGAGGTAAATACCCACTTGTTTTTTTTTTTTTGTTTTCATTTATTAAAATAGTCTCCTACGCTCAAGAACTTTACAGCATTTACCTTCGACTTATCATAAATGTACGTCAAATAGGACCTGGGCAGCATATCGAAACCATATTGAACGATCAAATTAGCACATTAGTATTCCGCTGGCATAGCGCTTCACCAAGTGCTTTAAAACTTTGCGATCAAAAAAGTGAGTAAGTAGTATTTACGAAGAACACATTGGAACGTAATTACGATTCGATGCAATTAAAGAAGACCCCGTTAAGCTAACAACGGTTTCTCCGCGCAAATTATAGTAATAAAATAAAGTTCGGCTGGCTGGCCATAACCGATCACCAAATTTTAGCATTACATAACCATGACAATATGCATACATAAATAAATAAAGCGTTTACAATTCAACTTCAGGTTCTTTTTAAGTTCATAGCGATTAGCTAATAAGAGAGCAAAATAAGTACTAAGTATAAAATATCGATGTATATTTATTATTATGCATATAATGTCTGTA